CGATACCTATACCTTCTATTTCTCTATAGAGAAATTCCAAGTGGAAATCGATTTTCGATTTGATCGATAATAACAATATAATAACGCAACAACTTTGTTTTACCTTTGGTTTTTCATTTCTTTTCCTATAAACAATCTAATCATAGAAAAGTGATTTCTAATAATAAATTTTCGAGAGAGTAAAATCGATTCGATTGAGTAAAAATTGATCTTCTTTCTCTTCCTATAGTCAACAAAAAAGAAAATCAAATTACAATTAACTCATTGTCTGCCAACTACGAGATATCTCGTAGGGTGTGCTGCAATTTTAGATTAACATATTCGTGGCCGATATATTTTTTTCGTTTCTAATACTGAGTACCGGTAAAATTAATGAAATTTTGAAAAAACAATAATTTTTACATTTAAATTTATATTTAAATAATAAAATATAATAATATATATAATAAAATAGAAATTATTTGAATATTATATTTAAATATTATATTTAATATTATATATATATATATATTAAAATATAATATAATAATATATAATNTTATATTTAATATTATATATATATATATATTAAAATATAATATAATAATATATAATATAAATTTAATATATAAAATATTAATAAAGTAATTATAAAATAATATATATTTTTTTTTTATTAAAATTTTTAAAATGACGTGAATCACGTCAGAGGCAACCAGAAATAGAACTTGAAAAGACGTAAATTCACGTCATCGGTCGCGAATGTGTTAATTACAAATGGTTATTTGCGTTAAGAATTATTAAAAATTTTCAATAAAATATATTTATATACGATGTAAAAAACATAAATTATCAATTATTATAAATACCATTACAATATTATATAATTAATTTATTTTTCCAAATTTAAAACAAAACGCTCTAAATATGTCTACCAATCAATGGATTAAATTTACGAATTTACAAGAAATACCAATTCAAGTATATTCAAGAAGAATATACCTATTTACATTTACAATGATAAAGAAAGAGGTAGAAAATGTTAAGTAGATGCGACACATGCAATTTGCCTTTTCTAACGTAGTAAGGGGTTAAAGTAATGGGTTCTTGTCTATAGTTTTCCTATCCTTACTTCTGTTGCCAAGGTATCATCTATCTATCTCTCTCTCTCTCTCTCTCTCTCTCTCTCTCTCTTCATCTCTAACTTTCTTAGTTTCAAAGGTATCTACCTTTATTACACAGCCACCCTCGTAGAATTTCTGTACGTAGTCTATTATTATTAAAGCCAGCCAGGCATACTCTAAGAACGTTAACGTACCCTCAACCTAACTTGGCGGTCTTTGATAAACAATTCAACCTTCTTCCATCGTGTGCCATTATAACGCTGAAAACGCTTTTATCGAGAGTCTTGCAAATAATAGCACTCTGTGATACAGCCACCGATATTATAAAGAGTCAAACAGAGATAATGAATGAGAAAGATAGACAGAGATGAAAGATGAAAGAAGAAGAAGAAGAAACAATCTATCGGTTAGCGTAGCATTCCTTTATCATACTTATTATATTCACGTGAAAGTATTTCTTATTCTTAGTTAGATTATAGATTAAAGTTTTTTGTCAGAAATCATTTCTATTCGTGTAAAAATTCTATCTACAGAATTGGTCAAAAGTTATGATTATGATGATGATGATGATGATGATTCGTATACTATGTGCTCATTTATTTAGTGATGTCAGCAGATTGACATGTATGACACCTCTCATATGAAGAAATACGTTTTAATTACTCGACTCCATATATTCCCGATGGTGTTAACGATTAAGAGAGAGAGAGAGAGAGAGAGAACAACAAAAATATAAGAAAAATATGTATTCTATGTTTGAATTCTCAACGTTGTGTCATTAAGTTTGCCTGAAAAGGCTAAAGAATCTTTTTACTTGGACGACTAGGCTCGTTAAAACAAAACAAGGATGGATAAACGTATATATTCTTGAATCCGATGCATCATTGGAAAAAAAAAATCAAAGGAAATAAAAAATAAAAAAAAAAGGATGAAAATGTTAAATTAATTCAACGATTGTTTGTCTCTGCACCTCTCTGTCTCATCTTTTTTTCTGATATATTTGCTGATGAGGTTAAAGAATCTTTGAATGATAAAATATAAATAAATATCTTACAGTGTGTATTGGGAAAAACCCAAGACTACTACTTCTCGATTTTCCAATCTTCTCGATCTTTCCAACTATACGTCTCAATCGAAGAATCGATTGTTCGAAACGTGATCGTGACTCGACGATTTACCACAAACAACGATAATATTGTCTATAACTTACTTGACTCATTCATTGTTTATTCCAACAATAAATTTATATATATTGACTGTAAACGTTTCGAATCGGTTCTTAAAACTAAAAGGAACAAAATCAAAGATCCTATACTCTCGTAAAACAATTCCTTGCTAATTATCCATAAAAAAAAAATCCCCTAAATATCTGTGTACGCATGGTGGTTGTTGTCCAAGAAGAAGAAGAATCTTTTTATCATTCCTTCCTTTCCTTCCTTCTGTTTTGTTGTAACGAATACTAAGGACTACGACAACTACAACTACGACTAAGACTACGTTTGCCTTCCGTTGTAGGACCGGTTGCCCTCCGTTAATTTATTTAAATTGCTCTGAGTTCCTCTCCTCTCCAGAGTGGCATGTGGCTGCTCGCCGACTCACAGAAACGATTCGATTCGCTATTGTCGGTAAAGCTCTTGTTATTTATCGGTGCGAAACGTTCCGTTCGTTTCAGGGATTTTCGTTAGAACGAAGAGAACGGCAAACGTGGAACGCGTACAACACCACTTGGATACTTCAATTTATTGCTATTTCTCAAGGCTACTTTCAATATATATATATATATGAAAACCTATATTTATACACAGGTATATTCATATATATATAGGGTGGAGTATTTCAAACGTGTGATTGTAAAGCTAAAGTCTTATATAAACGAATAAGATGACCATGAAATGAATCGTCTCTATCAACGTGTTTCTACCTCTCTTTTTTTTTTTTTCAAAAATTCTTGTTTCTTCTTTCTATACAAAAGTGTATGATGTTACATGAAAATTGAATAAGATTTGTGGGACACTTTATCGATTGATTTTTTTTTTTTTTTTTTATAAAATGATTGTGAATAAATTCTGTGACAAAAGGGATATTCATTTTATCTGTGCTAAAATCTTATCAAAGTGTGTATATAAAGGACAGATTAAAAAAAAAAAAGATGATAGTGTTGATTATTCATTAAAAAATGAGTATTGCTAGTATTTAATAACAAATGACTATAAAAGATAGTTATCTATAGATGTAGCGTAATAACTATCTATGAGAATCGATACGATCCTCTGGTATCATTGATTTCTCTATTAATCATTCGTTCGAACTTACGTTAGTTTCCTACAAAGATACGAAATATGTATTGCATCTCGTGATTATAAATACTTCGACGATTATAAAGTATCGTTTTGAAAACTATTAATTATTTCTGTCAGTTCAGCAACACGTAGTGGGAGAGAAAGGTCTCTCATCTCTAACTGATCTTCTTCTTCTTCTACTACTTCTTCTTCTTCATCATCATCTTTTTCTTTTTATCTTTTTCATTTTCTTCTTCTTCATCATGATACTTCTCAACTTACGTGCTCGTCAGTCCCTCTAATGACCGTTAAATACGTCATTGTAAATGATTAATACCCTGGCCTGATTCACGTCGATGTCCTACGATTAAACGAAATCAGAAACAAATCTTGAAAATATTTAATACATCCTTCGATAAAATTTGTTTATATGTGTTAGATGATTGATTGATTATACAAAATGAATTTAAATAAATGTATTTTTTTTTTTTTTTTTTTAAATAACTCTTACCAATTATTCTAAAATAAAAAAAAAAAACAAAATATGATTAAACAAAAAAAGAGGACGAAATAAAAGAAAGAAAGAAATAAATAACACTATGCACACGCTACCAGCTTTATTATACAAAAAAAAAAAAGGAAATAAAAACGTATACCCATTTTTAAAGGGTTACGAATGAACTGTACAAAATAAAAATAAAATAAAAAAAAAAAAGAGAAGAAATAAAAATAAAAAAGAGGAAGTGAAAGGTAAGGAGGAAAAAAAAATGTGCTGGTGACATTTTCATGTCTATCTCACTCTCTCTCTCTCTCTCTCTCACCCTATCTCTCCCTTTCACTCATACTATCTCACTCTCATTCTCACTCTTTTTCTCTCTCTCTCTCTCTCTTTCTATTTACCTGTATATCTCACTTTCTTTTTCTCACTCTTAAATGTATCTTAAATTACCACCATCTCTCTCTCTCTCTCTCTCTCTCTCTCTTTTCTTCTCCCCCCTCCACCCTTTCCACCTTTATTCTCTATCTTTCTCTATCTCTCACGGCAAGCATCAACAACGTACATAGTCGCCTTTAATTCAACCTTCGTGTGTGGCCCTCAGCTTGGAGCTAAGTACAAAGCTCGCGTCGCGAATCGTCTCGTCTTTCTTCATTCGTCCCTCTCTCCCTTTCCCTTTCCCTTTCTTTCTCCCGTGACGAGGCGCGACCCTTGCGATTAATTACGTTAATTACGACGAACGTTACAAATGTCTCAAGCGGTATATATATATGTATATATGTGTGGCCATTTCTGTGCGAGAAAGTCCAAGGGATGAAAAAGGGCTGAGAAATGGGCTCTACCCTAGAAACATTTACAAAGCGTCGTATTTCTAAAATCTTCTTCTTCTTCTTCTTCTCTCTTGTTCACTTTTATTTTTTTTCTTTTTTCTTTTTTCTTTTTCTAGGTTCAAATTGTTCTCGTCATTGTTTAAAAGAAAAGATTAGAGTAAGAAGAAGAAGAAGAAGAAATAAAATAAAAAAAAAAAAAAGAAAACGTAAAAGTTATCTGATAAAACTGCTCGAAGAGAAGACGATCGATTGCTGTTGCCAAAAAAAAAAAAAAAAAAAACAATGTGAACATTTAAGTAAACATAAAATAGATATATATATATATATAAATATTAAAATCGTCCATCACATCGTTGGAAACTTCCGTCGAACATTATTTTCTCACGTTAAACTGATAAAGTTAATACGTTGATCTATATAAAGTTTTAGATCGTAGTCCATTATAGATCTTAGTCCAATGATCAAACGCTGTTTTCATCGATGCCTATTTTAAGAATTTTTCAAGATAATTGCATTTTATCCAACAGCCTCTGATACAATTCTCGTGCCGTTTCTTACGAAAGATTGCAACTGCTGTGCCGCACCCTGTAAAATATGACATAATAATTATTCATATGAAATGAAATAATTTATTTTTTTTTTTTACAGAAAATTTGTTAATTACCGTAATGGCAGCACCAAGGAACTGACTGAACGCTCTAGTAGCACCAAGAGCAACGTTCACCACTTGATTACGTGCACCCTCACCTCCTACGTCATTATTATTGTTTTGTGCATTTTGAAGTGGATTAACAAAATTGGCGAACCCACTGAAAAGGGGTGGTGGATAAGTCGAGCTAGGTGACCACGTTGTCGTTTGTAGTCTTGGCCTTGAAGTTGACGATGGTCTTCCCGTCGTACTGGTTGGTCTTGCTGTGGTTGTTGGTCGAGGAGTACTCGTAGTACTTGGTGGAAGTGAAACGAGATTTTTTTCTAGACTCTGATCAAACAGACAAATTGATGGACATTTAAACAATTTCCTAATTATTCATTAAAATAATATACAGTACTTGACTTACAGCCAATTGTAATTGTTCTCGAAGATTAGTAGCTGGTGTGGATGGTTCGATGCCTTGAGCCTTCAAAAGGGCTGCCAAGAGAGCTGCATTGTTAATTTCAGGTGATCGTGTAGTCGTAACTAATGGAACTTTAGCTTGACCAGACAAAATAGCTCTCAAGAAAGCTTCGTCATCTAGAGCTGATGTCGGAACAGGTGTCCCAGGTTTCTGATTTTTCTTATCTGTCGAGAAAAAATGAAAAAAAAAAAAAACATCAATAAAAATCCAATTTCACGTAATGCAATTTAATCCTCAACTCACTTGATTGCTGAAGCGAATTAAATAGTGCTGCCAAGAATTTAGCGTCATCTTCCGGTGAATACGTTGAACTAATAACGTTAGGAAGCCTAGGATTTGGATTGTTTAGTAATACTTGTTTCGTAGTAGTTACTGGTTTCAGTGTGGTTGTTGTCGTCGTCGTCGTCGTCGATGTCGTTGGTTTAGTTGTATCAATAGTTATGTCAGAAATGTTAACCATTCTAGGTATGATAGACGATTGAGTCGTTACAATAGGTCTCTGCGTGATTTCAACGATTCTCGGTGTCGTTTTGATTGGTCTAGGTGTAGTTTTAACAGGCCTTGCTGTGGTAGAAGGTCCGAAAAAGTTTCCACCAAAGAGTGCTTGCAACAAACTGGCACCTATTCCTTGAACAGGTGCTGATGTCGTTGTTTTAGGCTTGGAAGGTATAGATTTTGCTGTGACGATCATTGGTGACTTAGTCGTACTACTTGATACCGCAGAACTGTGAGTTTGTGCACTGGCAGCTAAGTCGGAGATTTTAATAGGTTTTCCAATAATTGTAGGTGTCGTACTAATTGGTTTCAATGTTGATGAAGATATCGTTGTTGCTTTAGTAGTAGAAGACGGTAACAAATCGATGATTATCGGGGCGGATGACGATGCTTCAGTTACTGGTGACACTTCTATTGAATTTGGAGATGCATTTGCAAATTGAATAGCTTTTGGTGAACGAGTAGGTCCAGCATTGTTCAAGGCAAGAGATATTATCTAAAGAACATGATATAATTACATGTTGTAAGTGTTGTGCGATCTTGATAATAACAGTTGTTTTATTTTTTTTTTTTTTTAATATTATCCTATTAGGTAAAACAAAGCACATTTTGCATATATCACAGTGATTCACTAATTCCAAGTGTTATTTCTGTGTAGTTTGAGAAACACGAGAAAGGAGTTACTAGAAATATGTATATCTTGAATTATTACAGGCTAGTATTAAAAACGAAATAAGGATTGTGCAAATAGTGAAAGGAAAGTTCGTGCACACACGTTTCTCGCTTCTCTCCTGAATACTGCTGGAGTAGCTGGACGATAATTACTATCCACTTTGCGCTCTCCACAGCTTTATTAGTTAATGATGACTTAGGTACTATCTACCTTGTGTTTTTGCTCTTACATACGTAATTGTTCTGTTAGCCTTTTCAGAATCTACTAAACGTTTTCTGTTTTTTCTTTTTTTGCAGTATTTAAGTTTAGATAAATTATATAAATATACTTGGATCGTTATATTACCTTATTGGCTAAAAGCTTTTCCACGTCGTTCAAAGTTTTTTGTGTTGTTGGGCCATCATTAGGTTGTAACTAAAACAAATTATATATTTCTATGTAAATTTGTTTCTTCGTGATAAAGAAGATAATTTTTAATAACAAGTTTAATTCACTTACAAGAGAGTTCAAAAATGCCAGATCATCAAACGTTGTACCGAAAGCATTCTGGGTTCGCATATTTATTGGTGTTGTTGCTTGTAAAGTTACTGTAGTTGGAGCTGGTGTAGTTGTGGTTGTAGTTGTTGTTGGAGCTGGTGTAGTTGTAGTAGTAGTAGTAGTAGTTGTTGGAGCTGGTGTAGTTGTAGTAGTAGTAGTAGTTGTTGGAGCCGGTGTAGTTGTAGTAGTAGTAGTAGTTGTTGTTGGAGCCGGTGTAGTTGTAGTAGTAGT